ATGGACTCTCAGTCCCCGAGGTTGGCCGTACTCTGTTGATGGACTATCAGTCCCAGAGGTTGGCCGTTCTCTGTTCATGGACTATCAGTCACAGAGGTTGGTCGTACTCTGTTGATGGACTTTCAGTCCCCGAGGTTGGCCGTACTCTGTTAATGGACTTTCAGTCCCCGAGGTTGGCCGTACTCTGTTGATTGACTATCAGTCCCAGAGGTTGGCCATACTCTGTTGATGGATTTTCAGTCCCCGAGGTTGGCCGTACTCTGTTAATGGACTCTCAGTCCCCGAGGTTGGCCGTACTCTGTTGATTGACTATCAGTCACCGAGGCTGGCCGTACTCAGTTGATGGACTATCAGTCCCCGAGATTGGCCATACTCTGTTGATGGACTATCAGTCCCCGAGGTTGGCGGTACACTGCTGATGGACTTTCAGTCCCTGAGGTTGGCCGTAATCTGTTGATGGACTATCAGTCCCAGAGGTTGGCTGTACTCTGTTGATGGACTATCAGTCCCCGAGGTTGGCCGTACTCTGTTGATGGACTATTAGTCCCAGAGGTTGGCCGTACTCTGTTGATGGACTATCAGTCCCCGAGGTTGGCCGTACTCTGCTGATGGACTGTCAGTCCCTGAGGTTGGCCGTACTCTGTTGAAGGACTATTAGTCACCTGGGTTGGCCGTACTCTGTTGATGGCCTATTAGTCCCAGAGGTTGGCCATACTCTGTTGATGGACTTGTGGCTGAAATTCATTCTGGCTCGGTTTACATGCTAGTTTGAGGGAAAATATTTGTTTATCTGTGAATCTATAACAAAAGGTTTAAGACACCTTTCCCCGTCTCTGTATTTCTACAATTTTCATGTTTGTGCTTTCAACCTTTAACTCCTTCCGTACTGCAAATCCGGTCCGGACTCCGTACCGGTTGTCCTTACTAGACTCGCCCCCGCGCAAATCACAAAATGGTGGATGATTAATGTTCTTTTTAGAGAAGGTGTAATTGCTGCAAGAATTAAACAGGTATAACCGCGAACAAATATTGTTATTTTTTCAAGTTGTTGTTTATAGACACACACCTCTTCATTTTCGCAGCAATATGACTAACTGGCAGCTGATCATGACTGAGAAATCGACAACAAAAGATATGAAACCTTTTTTTTCAAAACAGCGTTGTAGTGGAGGTTCCTAATAGGGATTGATCATTGTTTACGAAAACGAAGTCGTTAGTTTTTTTTCTAATTAAAAGTAGATTTCATTAGGACTTATATTAAAATATTCATATTTACTTCCATAATTGTAAAAAAAATATTTGGTGATGAATTTACAAGTGTTCATATCGAATTAAGTTGCCGCCATATTGTTTATATTTGAATCACCAAACGCAAACATCTTGCGGCAGATTCGAAAACAATTGCTCACAAAATATAAATTGTGTACTTTGCACCTATAAAACTATTTCTTTCAAAGTGATGGGTGCTGATTTTAGCTACACATAATTGTATTACGCGATTGTCGTGTGCGATAACCAGCTAACCATAAGACAAGTTACACCAAAGTCTGTTGTGTGTACACAACAACGGGGACCAGGATGACATATTGTTGTCGTGTGTACACACAACGGTACAGAAAGAGTAAACATCACTGTAGAGTCCTTAATGGACGAAATACAGGAAGTCATATGATGCAGCAAAACTTTATTTTCTTTCACATTCTGCTTCATAAAAAAATCAAATATGTGCTTTGCTCGAGTAACTAACGGGTTAGTTTTGCAATTTATTCACATACATTCCTGCAATAGGGTATCTTTTAATATTCCTGTTTGAACATGATATCCAGATTACAGAAGGAAATTAAATTCAGTCTTTGACTACATCTCATTTTCCCATATTTGGCTGTGCGTCTCTGCCCCCTAAAAGCAACCTTCTATGTATTCAAAGGTGAGTCCCCTTTGCTCAAGGATGCTCTACACAACATTTGGTTAAACTTCCTCAAAGCATCCTAAAGGAGAAGGATTTTAATCATGTATTAACATGTTCCCCCTACTTGCAGTGGGCCTTGATCATCCCTTAGCCCCCAGTGGGAACACTCTCCCTTAAAACGAGTTTGGGTCCCCCTTTTCCTAGGATGCTCTGGACCAAATTTGGTTAAGACCATCGTGTTTATGCAAAATTTAGTCCCTCTTGCCCAAGGATGCTTCAGTCAAAATTTGGATAAAATATCCCTCCAGTAGAACAGAAGAAGAAGGATTTTAAAGATTTAAACATCAAATTCCCCTATTGGACCCCACCCCTCTGCAACCGGTGGGGACACACCCTCCATTTATACAAAATTTAGTCCCCTCTGCCAAAGGATTTTCCAGGCAATATTTGGATAATATTCATAAAGATTTTCAGGACTAGTAGCGTTTTAAAGAAAAAGTTGAAAGACGGACAGACGCCGTGGTACGGCATAAGCTCACTTCTTCGGATAACAATCAATAATAAAAAAATACAGTAACTAAACTCTACACAAGCACTTATAATACTTGGCCAAATGTCATGAGTGTAGGACTTTCGGACCTTCAGAAGTAGTCGTTTAAAAACATGGCATAAGCGGCAGGTGAGCTATAAACTGCAGCAACTGAACTCTTATCTTTACCTGAGCGGTCGTATACTTTCCAAGTTTTGGTATACAGTAATTAAAAATAATGGCAGCCCAAACATATTGGCTACAAGGCCGACTTGGAAACAAATGTTCAGAGATAAAAACTTTGACAAGGGAAGTAAGTCTAGTCAAAGGGACTTACTAGTGGGACCCTTCTCAGCGATTATAACTGAGACAGCGGTATCCTTTCACCTTATTCATTTAACAAAGAGAAAAATGATTTCAATTGGTCCCGCTATCCAACTTCAGTGGGGGGGTTTCTAAATTCAATTTAATCGTCTTGATTTTTTTAACATTGATTTGAATGCTGACAAATAAAAATATCTAATGTTAAATCTGTTTAACGTAGGGAGTAAGGCAACTCTTGTAGATCCAAGTCGCTGTATACAAATATACACAAGAAATGTACGTGCGAGTACTGTTTGATACCACAACAAGTATTAAACGGCACAGAAGATATTTATTCGCCATTTACTAACAGTGATAGCAGAAATCAACCTTTGTTAAGGCAACAGATCGTAAATACAGCTACTTTCGTTTTGTATATCAGAACAGCGCAGCTCTTCTTGCACCGAAGGCGCAAGAAGCGAAGCTCTTTTCCGGTAACATGTGTACGAACAATTGAAGTCATGGTAACGTCGAAATACTATGCTTCCAAAATCCTTCGTCACGGAAGTAGCCAGTATAGAGTTACCGCGGTCCTATTTTTACGATGCTGTTAAGCTTTGCTACACATTCTCAAAAATATATCTTTATTTGATAAAAAAAATTCTGTGGTTATTCATGACATTAGAAATTATAGAAACAGAAGCTTCTTTCAAATTTTCAGTCTTTTCGTCTCTCCACCCAAACCGGAAGTATATAGTAACTACCAAACCAGACGGAAATCCGGATATGTTTGGGCTTTTGTGATTCTCTTTTTACACGATTTAGAGGGATCAGGCAAAGCATATCATGTCGGAAAATAAAATTGGAGTTTAATCGCCAATATACTTAACTTTTATAATAACAATGTTATTTAGAAAATAAAATTGAAAAAAAAACAGCATTTAGACGCTTCTCTGGTTTCAGGCAATGCCTGTTTTCAAAATGAATGATTTTGCCCAGCAACAGATTCAAGTATATTATATTAAAAAAAATTCAGTTAAATTGTGTATGTATTAAAATGGGTAATGTTATGATTTAAAAAAATATAGTATACTATCGAAACAAATGTACCAGCTGCGCTCTCTCCAGGCCATGCCTGAGTCATATTATATCTACTACACGAAATGTTTGAGTCTCTTGACGTACCTTTGTAGTAATTGCTTACTAATATTTAAAGAAAAAGATAAACTGTTATAGGCATGACACAACGCAGTAACTACTTTACGATATCTTGGTGCTGATTAGTACTCAAAAATATATGGGTATAATAACACGTGTCTAAGCTACAAAGACTTTCGGTTTGAATAAATCTAACACAGAAAATGCGTGTCAACATTGTAGCGTAAATAACACTAATATATGCATAGATAAGCATGCATTGTTTGTGTAATGAACAATACCACGTTTGTCCGGTATACTCACCCAGGGGACTGTAATCTACACGGAAATCACAAACTAGTCTCCATCTCCGAACAAGGAAGTAGGTAAAGGTTACTACAAGTCAAACATGAAAGGCGGTATTACAATTCCGGATACTGAACAAAAGTCTGAAAACAAAATGTTTTACTTCAGTTTTTATGAAGTAGAACGTTAATTTAAGCGTTTAAATATCTAGTATATTATATATAAGAATAATATAAAGGCTTTATAAGTAGGTTTACACTGGAGACAATGGCATATCAAGCAAGTAGGTTTACCCGCGAGATACTTAATTATTATACAATGTAGGTACATACAGTTTATATGTCAGGGGCGTAGCTGGGCCGCTTCAGTTATCGCGATCCAAACAGTTGAACGGGTTGAACCAGGGCTGTTAGTTTATTACATGTATATAAGGCCGGGCACCAGTCATCTGATGCTGCTTTCAGGCGAGCCTCAAGTTGACAAAGCCTCGCAAGGGCTGCATACAATTTTGCAGGTCCGCCAGGATTTATACCCCAAAATGTTACATTTAAAACAGACACTCGCGGTTGAAAGCGGTCCTGACCTGTAAACGATGTGTATGTAGAGTTTGTCATTCAGCCATTCGAGGAGTTTCCGCCCCGGAAAATGTTTTGAAATCCAAAAGCTATATGACGCTATCTGATGGCTTTTTAGAGCATTATTTCAGTATTTATTTGTTCAATATTTAATCTTTAATCTTGATATATTTGTTTGAGAATTTCTGAAACACAAATAAAGACATAGGTAAAACTGTTGTTGATATTTGTTTAACAGAAAATGTCTGTATAAAGTTACGTTAAACTACGTATAAAATAGTATAAAAGTAGCAATACTAATAACGGCACCTAGTGGCCTAGACTCTGAATACGCGTTACCAATTGTCCAAGTTAATATTTTGAGACCGTACAAGAATTTAATTACTATTTCAGATCAATGGCAGCGATGCACCTTAGTTATATGAGTTTATTATATAACTGCAAAAGGAAAGTGAATGGAAAAAGGAAAAAAAATCAAAAAAAAATCAACATCATGATACCAGTTGCATGTATACGTAGCCGTCATGAAAATATATAGGAAAACAGTCAAATTATATGAGTTTACAGTGTAACTTGAAATGAAAAACATATGAAATAAGAAAATAAAGGAAAAAATAAATTAAGATGTATTTCAGAAATTGATAGATTTTCATATTTTAAGACATCGATATTCTGCCTCTCTAAATACAAAACTAGAGCACCCTGAACCCAACTCAATACTAAACAACAACTCTTTGTCACCGTTTTAATTGGAGGGGACAGATATGGAGCTAAAGCTTGTTTAGATATGTACACATTTCCCGCTCATTTTGAACTTAAACAACAACAACAACAACAACAACAACAACAACAACAACAAAACAATGTTAAGAAACGACGCTTAAATTCTTCACTGTAAATACATATCTTTACCATAATCTACTTATAGTGAACCTTAAGTTGTGTACAGAGTTAAGTTTCCTGATTAAATAGGAACATATCCTCACGGTTTCACTAGGTGATTAAGTACATTGATCTATTATAATATTTTGCAGTATTCTGTAAATGGATATAAGGAGAGTTATCTGCCCGTGTCCATATTAGTTGAAGCTATACATTTATAGGAGACCCGGGAAAACGATATTGTGACAAGTACCTGTAAGCCAACATATTTGTTTTCCTACACTGAACGGCAAAAAAGCGGGAATTCCGTGTGTATTTTCTTTTTAAGGATTCTCGTACCACTGTTAAAAACTGTTAAGGATCCTTGTCCCGCTCCACTGCTTTTTTTCGTATATAGAGTAGCCTCCCCTTAACTTAACTTGGGGACAGTTAGTCAGGACACTTCCGTTGACCATGAAGATCATAGGTCAGTATAACAATCCCTGGTTCGAACCCTGGTCTAGTCTTGTCTTGTTGAATTTTTACAAACAGAACACTGTTGTAGATTGTGTTTATGTTAGTTAATCTCTATTATTTTTCCAAAAAGTTAATAGTCATGTTGTGGTAGATAAAAGAAGAAAAAAGAAAAACACTTGAAAATTTCCTACTAAAAATATGAACATGAAATGAGTAAAACGGAAATTACGACAAAGAGTATCAAAAATCACCAGGGGCTAGACGAGGATACGACCTTCTACCATTATGTTCTCGCTCTAACCAACTGGGTTACCTGATCAACTTTAATATTGGGGCACCGATCGCGAGATTGGTTGTCTGTCTGTACGGTACATACACCTTGAACTGACAGTGGAGGTCGATCGTCTGTCTGTACGGTACATACACCTTGTACTGACTACAAAGGTCGGTCGTCTATCTGTAAGGTACATACACCTTGTACTGACTACAAAGGTCGGTCGTCTATCTGTACGGTACGTACACCTTGTACTGACTACAAAGGTCGGTGGTCTGTCTGAACGGTACATACACCTTGTACTGACTACAGAGGTCAGTCATCAGTCTGTACAGTAGATACAACTTGTAGTGACATCAGAGGTCGGTCGTCTGTCTGTACGGTACATACACCTTGTACTG